ATTGAAACCGTATAAACGGGTTCAGGGTCGGTTTACCTCCCCGAAAGAGACTCCGCCCTTCGGCGTAGCCTCGATCGGGTTCCTCCCCGCCCGAAGGCAGAGAGTTCAACTGATCAGTAAGGCGAATTACTGACAATATTCAGTCACACACCCCCACCACTTGGGCATCATGTGACACAAGGTCGGTTATTTATTGTGGGTTCTCCGAGCCCGTGGGCTCGGCCCAAAAATATGCCCATTGAACCCGTATAAAGGGGCTCAGGGCCGGTTTACCTCCCTGAACGAGGCTCTGCCCTTCGGCGTAGCCTCGTTCTGGTTCCTCTCCGCCCGAAGGCAGAGAGTTCAACCGATCAGTAAGGCGAATTACTGACTCCTTGCCTACTCCTGAGGCGCAGTATTTATTATGGAATAGTCCATTATTATTATTATGGCTAAGATGCCATTACATATAGGAATCGAGAAATCAGAGGAGGGGTTAGTTTCGCAGAGAGATAGGATGTCTAGAGAATGTTCGAAGAGGAACGGTTCCACACTGCAGAATTTGGTATAAATACCGCGAATATTAGAATAGATGAATTTTGACGAGCTGGTTTGGCTTGGTTTCGTTGTTTGCTTATCGTCTTGGTGCGTTATTTAGGTTAGGAAAAGGCTGGGAATAGTAGTAGCTGCCGGTCATCTAAGGCAATATGCGCGGACTGGGAGTTTGTCGCTGACTTCAGCGTGTTAAGGGGTTACCCAGCGGATATGCTTGCAATGACACCCTTCCATACGCGATATGGTACTGCAAGAACCCTTATATTATACAGCTGTAGATCAGAGTAACCTCTCTAGATGATACGCAAGAGTTCTGGCTCTTAACATCCTGTCGGGAAGCAGCAAGCAGAAAACTGTCAACTCAGTACCGTCATTGTGAAGAGACGTAGCCACCATCCACTCATATCACCAAAAGAATTATGATAGCGCCATTGTTAATGCCTCAGAGGAAGAAAGGAACCGCAAAGCCCTTCCTAAACAGGGAACAATGGATAAGCCTCCGCTCCTGTTCAAAGGAAGTGGAGGAGTATGAACCGGACGATAGGAATACCGCGTCTGATATTAGGAAACAGGCCGGGTCGGTATCCTTTCAACATCTCATCGGAATAAATTTTCTTTGATGACTCTTTCACGGTGGAGTAATGGATAGCGGCTCGGATTGAGGAATCAGAGAGCCGAGTTCGAATTCCAGTCAGATTCATTACGTTCGATAACATGCTAATACCATTGGGAAAGGTATGAATCCTCTTCTCCCAGCTAAATAGCAGGACAGACCGGGTTCTATAGCTTTGGATGGCAACTGGTCTACCGTAGAAAGAAATAGCAACCTAAAAAAAAAATCTGCCTCGTCTGTCATGTATCGAAAGGTACATGATCGCCTAAGCGTGTATCACGCATGGCACATAACTGACTGACTGACCCTCGGGAAAGGTATGAATCCTCTTCTTCTCCTCCTTCAGCTATGGGTAAATACCAGGATAGACCGGGTTCTATAGCCTTGGATTGCAACTGGTCTACCGTAGAAAGAAATGGCAACGTACTACGGGAAAAAATCTGCCTCGTCTGTCATGTATCGAAAGGTACATGATCGCCTAAGCGTATGTATCACGCATGGCACATAACTGACTGACTGACCCTCAGGAAAGGTATGAATCCTCTTCTTCTCCTCCTTCAGCTATGGGTAAATACCAGGATAGACCGGGTTCTATAGCCTTGGATTGCAACTGGTCTACCGTAGAAAGAAATGGCAACGTACTACGGGGAAAAAAATCTGCCTCGTCTGTCATGTATCGAAAGGTACATGATCGCCTAAGCGTGTATCACGCATGGCACATAACTGACTGACTGACCCTCGGGAAAGGTATGAATCCTCTTCTTCTCCTCCTTCAGCTATGGGTAAATACCAGGATAGACCGGGTTCTATAGCCTTGGATTGCAACTGGTCTACCGTAGAAAGAAATGGCAACGTACTACGGGGAAAAAAATCTGCCTCGTCTGTCATGTATCGAAAGGTACATGATCGCCTAAGCGTGTATCACGCATGGCACATAACTGACTGACTGACCCTCGGGAAAGGTATGAATCCTCTTCTTCTCCTCCTTCAGCTATGGGTAAATACCAGGATAGACCGGGTTCTATAGCCTTGGATTGCAACTGGTCTACCGTAGAAAGAAATGGCAACGTACTACGGGAAAAAAATCTGCCTCGTCTGTCATGTATCGAAAGGTACATGATCGCCTAAGCGTGTATCACGCATGGCACATAACTGACTGACTGACCCTCGGGAAAGGTATGAATCCTCTTCTTCTCCTCCTTCAGCTATGGGTAAATACCAGGATAGACCGGGTTCTATAGCCTTGGATTGCAACTGGTCTACCGTAGAAAGAAATGGCAACGTACTACGGGAAAAAATCTGCCTCGTCTGTCATGTATCACGCATGGAAAGGTACATGATCGCCTAAGCGTGTATCACGCATGGCACATAACTGACTGACTGACCCTCGGGAAAGGTATGAATCCTCTTCTTCTCCTCCTTCAGCTATGGGTAAATACCAGGATAGACCGGGTTCTATAGCCTTGGATTGCAACTGGTCTACCGTAGAAAGAAATGGCAACGTACTACGGGAAAAAATCTGCCTCGTCTGTCATGTATCGAAAGGTACATGATCGCCTAAGCGTGTATCACGCATGGCACATAACTGACTGACTGACCCTCGGGAAAGGTATGAATCCTCTTCTTCTCCTCCTTCAGCTATGGGTAAATACCAGGATAGACCGGGTTCTATAGCCTTGATTGCAACTGGTCTACCGTAGAAAGAAATGGCAACGTACTACGGGGAAAAAATCTGCCTCGTCTGTCATGTATCGAAAGGTACATGATCGCCTAAGCGTGTATCACGCATGGCACATAACTGACTGACTGACCCTCGGGAAAGGTATGAATCCTCTTCTTCTCCTCCTTCAGCTATGGGTAAATACCAGGATAGACCGGGTTCTATAGCCTTGGATTGCAACTGGTCTACCGTAGAAAGAAATGGCAACGTACTACGGAAAAAAATCTGCCTCGTCTGTCATGTATCGAAAGGTACATGATCGCCTAAGCGTGTATCACGCATGGCACATAACTGACTGACTGACCCTCGGGAAAGGTATGAATCCTCTTCTTCTCCTCCTTCAGCTATGGGTAAATACCAGGATAGACCGGGTTCTATAGCCTTGGATTGCAACTGGTCTACCGTAGAAAGAAATGGCAACGTACTACGGGAAAAAAATCTGCCTCGTCTGTCATGTATCGAAAGGTACATGATCGCCTAAGCGTGTATCACGCATGGCACATAACTGACTGATTGACCCTCGGGAAAGGTATGAAGCGTGTATCCTCTTCTTCTCCTCCTTCAGCTATGGGTAAATACCAGGATAGACCGGGTTCTATAGCCTGGATTGCAACTGGTCTACCGTAGAAAGAAATGGCAACGTACTACGGAAAAAAATCTGCCTCGTCTGTCATGTATCGAAAGGTACATGATCGCCTAGAAAGCGTGTATCACGCATGGCACATAACTGACTGACTGACCATAACCTCAGGAAAGGTATGAATCCTCTTCTTCTCCTCCTTCAGCTATGGGTAAATACCAGGATAGACCGGGTTCTATAGCCTTGGATTGCAACTGGTCTACCGTAGAAAGAAATGGCAACGTACTACGGAAAAAAATCTGTCTCGTCTGTCATGTATCGAAAGGTACATGATCGCCTAAGCGAGTATCACGCATGGCACATAACTGACTGACTGACCCTCGGGAAAGGTATGAATCCTCTTCTTCTCCTCCTTCAGCTATGGGTAAATACCAGGATAGACCGGGTTCTATAGCCTTGATTGCAACTGGTCTACCGTAGAAAGAAATGGCAACGTACTACGGGAAAAAAATCTGCCTCGTCTGTCATGTATCGAAAGGTACATGATCGCCTAAGCGTGTATCACGCATGGCACATAACTGACTGACTGACCCTCGAAAAGGTATGAATCCTCTTCTTCTCCTCCTTCAGCTATGGGTAAATACCAGGATAGACCGGGTTCTATAGCCTTGATTGCAACTGGTCTACCGTAGAAAGAAATGGCAACGTACTACGGGGAAAAAAATCTGCCTCGTCTGTCATGTATCGAAAGGTACATGATCGCCTAAGCGTGTATCACGCATGGCACATAACTGACTGACTGACCCTCGGGAAAGGTATGAATCCTCTTCTTCTCCTCCTTCAGCTATGGGTAAATACCAGGATAGACCGGGTTCTATAGCCTTGGATTGCAACTGGTCTACCGTAGAAAGAAATGGCAACGTACTACGGGAAAAAAATCTGTCTCGTCTGTCATGTATCGAAAGGTACATGATCGCCTAAGCGTGTATCACGCATGGCACATAACTGACTGACTGACCCTCGGGAAAGGTATGAATCCTCTTCTTCTCCTCCTTCAGCTATGGGTAAATACCAGGATAGACCGGGTTCTATAGCCTTGGATTGCAACTGGTCTACCGTAGAAAGAAATGGCAACGTACTACGGGAAAAAAATCTGTCTCGTCTGTCATGTATCGAAAGGTACATGATCGCCTAAGCGTATATCACGCATGGGACATAACTGACTGACTGACCCTCGGGAAAGGTATGAATCCACTTCTTCTCCCCACCCCAACCCCAGCTATGGGTAAACAGCAGGACTTACCGGGTTCTATAGCCTTGGATGGCAACTGGTCTACCGCAGAAAGAAATATCAACCAACTCGGGAAAATAATCTGCCTCGTCAGTCATGTATCGAAAGGTACATGATCGTCTAAGCGTATTATCACGCATGACACATAACTGGTTGTTATTATTATCATTATTATTATTGTTTTGTGTTTCTATTAATCAGTTTTTCCTTATTGTTATTATTATTATTGGTAGTAGTAGTAGTATTAGTAGTAGTATCATTAATGTTTCTATTGTTTTGTCTTCTTTTTTGCTTATCTACTCCTCCTCCTCCTCCTTCTCCTCCTTCTCCTCCTTCTCCTCCTCCTCCTCCTCCTCCTTCTCTTCCTCCTTCTTCCCATTGTCATTATTAGTAGTAGTCGTAGTACATTCTTCTTCTTTTTTCTTTTTCTTTTCCTAATCATATCACTTCCAAGCAAGGCAATAATACCGCTGGAATACAGGGGTGTGGGGTGGTTACAGCGAGTGAAAGAGAATGAGACGAATGGCAATAGGGAGAAATGAGAAAAGGATAAAAAAAAAAAGGAGTAACGTTCAAGGAGACAGATGACGACGATTGACGTTGCATTTAAATTTTCGAAGTTTGTAGTTATCCGGGAAGCAAGAAATCGGAAGGGAGCTGCACGGGCCGGAAGTGCGAGTAAAGAAACTGTTCGAGTAGAAATGGCAGTTGCATCTAGCTAGTAAAACGGTGAGACCTAGCTGCCAATCTAGTAGCACGCTTAAATTCATGTAGACGGGACAACAGAGGAAAACGGCTGATCAAAGTGATTGATATCGAGACGTCTGGCCAGGATCGAATAGATTACAGATCCTTCTTTGGATTTTGTCAAGAATCCCGAAATATACAGCAGAAGTACCAGATCAGATATACCAAGAATATTCAACACACGGACGAATGTTAGATTTATAAATTTGCAACATGGACTCTGAAGTGAACAATTTTCGGGCACAAATTTCCTAGCAGTAGACAATTGATTTGATATAGTCGTTCTATTTCAAGTCAGTGGAAAAACACCATTTTTATTTCTTACTATTTTCTTCGCCATCCTAATATTTTTTTACTCAGTAACTTCTTCTTCTTCTTCTTCTTCTTCTTCTTCTTCTTCTTCTTCTTCTATTACTACTACTACTACTACTACTACTTCATCTACTTCTAATGCTACTACTACTTATTCTTCTTCTGCCTCTTCCTCCTCTTTTGATTCTTCTTCTGCTGCTTCTTCTACTTCACCTTCTTTATCTTCTACTACTACTACTACTACTACTACTACTACTTCTTCTCCTACTTCTTTTTTTACTTCTGCTTTTCTGTTTTCTTTTTTCTTTTTCTTCTCCTTCTTCTTCCGCTTGTTCTTCTATTTCTTCTTATTTATCTTCTTTTATTTATTTCCGTCTTCTTTTCCTCCTTCTTCTTCTTTTTCTTCTTCTTCTTCTTCTTCTTATTATTATTATTATTATTCTCCTTCTATTACTACTACTTCTTTTTCCTCTTCAACTTCTGCTTCTTCTTCTTCTAGTACTTCTTAGACTTCTTCTCCTTCTCCTTCTTCTTCTTCACCTTCTTCTGCTCTTCTACTACTGCTATTACTACTACTTATAATAATTCTGATATTACTTCTCCTTCTTCTCCTGCTTCTTTTCTACTCCCTCTTCTACTACTACTACTTCTACAATTTCTTCTTCTTCTTCTTCTTCTTCTACTACTACTACTACTACTACTACTACTTCTTCTGCTTCTACTTCCACTTCTTTTTCTCCTTCCTCTACTGCTTCATTTTTGCATTTTCTTCTTCTTCTTCTTCTTCTTCTACTACTACTACTACTACTTCTTCTGCTTCTACTTCCACTTCTTTTTCTCCTTCCTCTACTGCTTCATTTTGGCATCTTCTTCTTCTTCTTTTTCTTCTTCTTCTTCTTCTTTTTCTTCTTCTTCTTCTTCTTCAACTACAACTTTTTTCTTCTTCTTCTTCTTCTAAGTTTGATATCTGACTGACAGTAATGTTACTCTCAGCTACGCATTGCTTCTTCCTCCGTCAAGTTTTTTTTTTTTTTTTTTTTTGGCTTTTAAGAAGATATTTTTTGTCTACATGTCTAGGAAGGCCATAGAAACGCCAGCTGGTTATTCGTTAAAAGTAGTTTTATATCTGACGCGTAATTTTGTATCTACGCATTAATGATTGTTCTTATTTACCAAGTCTTGGCACAAGGCCACTGGTAAGGAACCCCTCATGAGGATTGATCTCCACAAAAGATCTACAAGAACAACTTATTGGCCATTAATTTTCGAAATAATGATTGATCACTTTTATATTTTTACATATTATTGTCTTTAATTTTTCCCCGCTGGAAGAAACGCCTTTTTGACGTCTTTCTTCTCCGTTTTCTTTCGGATGCGATAAGTAAATATTCACAGTTTTATATTTTTAATTTCGCGCATGCGCATTGTTTTTTTTTGATTTTGTTGACTGCACAGTACAGTAAGGCAAGTTGGGCACTGTCTGTAAGAGAAAAAGCACTATGACTCAATTCACTTCGCTAGAAATTTGGAAACAGCATGCTGCCCTGCTTGGCATTCCCTCCAGAAGCTCCAATACGAACATTTAATTTAGTTTGGGTGTCAATCCGAGGATTCAGAAAGAGATGAATGGGTCTGATGGTGATCACGAAGGTGTTTGGACTGATCACTAGTAATAGCGACGTTATGCCTCCATTCATCTTCCCACATGGACTCGGACTAAACACAGAGGCCTGCATCAAGGGCCTTGAGGAGGTAGTGATGCCGTGTCAAGAGGGTGGTTCGAAGAGGGATCGTAGACTCTGTCTGACAACAGGACTCTGCACCATGCCACACAAGCAGTAGAAACGAATCATGGCTGTCAGACAATTTTTGCAACCAAATCATCCCTTACATCTGGCCAACTAACTCCCAAACTGCAACCCCCTTATTTATTATGTGTGGGGCGCAGCTGAGCGAGAAACGGGCAAAACTCCTTGTAATACCAAAGATGAACTGAAGGCAAGGATTATAGACGCATTCATCAACTTCAACAAGGAGGTCGTCCAGAAGAGATCTAGGAGATCCCGAAGTTGTCTGGAAGGCGTGCGGGAAACCAATAACGATTTTTATGAATAAGTTTACCATTTCAAGATATTTTGGTGTAATTTTGGTAAATATCTCTGTTAAAATGATTAGCAATTAATATAATTATATGCTTTGCTATTCGAAACAAAATTCTCTTGATTGCTATACTTCCAATGTTCCGACCGTTCTGCCCTCCGACCTTCCTTCCTTCCTTCCTTCCTCCGACGGTTTTTTTTTTGAGAGAGAGATTTATAATTATTATATGCTTTGCTATCAGAACCAACATGCTCACCTTGGTTGTTATTCTCACAACCTTTCGACCGATCTACGCTCCGGCCTTCTTTTATTATTTATATCGGAATTTTTTTAGATGAAGAATTACCATTATATATATATATATATATATATATATATATATATATATATATATATATATATATTATAATAAAAAGAAAGAACAGTAAGATATATAATCCGATGTTCTTAATTGATATTTTTATTTTTACAAAACAGTGCTCCATGTAAATTTACAGAGTATAAAATATTATAAATTAACTGATTTAAAATATGGTTTCTTTGCTACACAGGAATTACCATGTTTCAAAAACCGAAGCTAAAAACTTCAAATTTAATTATATAATTAAATTAAAAGCATTAGTTCTGTTTCATCTTCAAGCGAATTTTGGAATAACTTATTTTTAAATTTACTGGGTTTTAAACGCACATACAATTCATAATTTTTTTATTCCAACAATACAGAGAAATCCAATCATTTCGACAGGGGTGGTAGCGTGTACATTTTTATTAACTATTATTGTATCAATTATGAGTTACGTTCGAAAAAGTGGTTAAGTCTTGGTAGGGTAGGGGTGCATTTTTCAAAGAATTTTGGCATCCATTCAACGCATGTCATCTGTTTTTTTTTTTTTTGTTTTTTATCAACGAGAAAAAGTTTTTCGGCATTTTTTCCGTTCTATTCGTACTTGTATACAAGAAGATTTTTTCAAAAGGGGGTGTTTGGGATAGAATACGTTATATTGAACTACAATTTTAATATATTATTTTTACTCTTAATTACTAATAGTCTATATTTCTTTTTAAAACAAATAAATGTAATAGAATTACTTAAATTATTTAAAATTATTATTACATATCACATATATGTATGTATATTACCAGCTTCGGTTTTTGAAACATGGTAATTCCTGTGTAGCGAAGAAACCATATTTTAAATCAGTTAATTTATAACATATATATATATATATATATATATATATATATATATATATATATATATATATTCCCTTTCACCCCAAGCAAGTCGGTAATGCCGCTAGTACGTGGAATAGTGAGGATTGAGAAGAGGACAAAAGATGAACGGGATTCAAGAAGACAGAAGATGACGATTGACGTTGCATTTAAATTTTGAACATTGTATTTATCAGGGAAGCAAGGAAATGGAAGGGAGTTCCCCAAGCGGGAAGTGCGAGAAAAGAAACTGTTCCAATACGCTTTGCTATTCGGACCATCATACTCATCTTGGTTGTCATATTCACAACATACCGGCCGTTGTACGCTCCGGTCTTCTTTCATTATTTATATCGAGAATCAAGGAGACGGAAGCGTGTTCCACTGGTGGGAAGTGCGAGAATAGAAACGCTTTGCTATTCGGGCCATATACACAACATTTCGGCCGATGTACTCTCCGGGCTTCTTTTATTATTTATATTGAATACTTCGTGATGAAGAATTATCATTATTATATTCCTTGCTATAGGGACCAGCATTCTCATCTTGGTCGTTATACGCACAAGAGTACTGATATGTTTTGTGAAAAAAGGAAGTCATATGTTTGTCTCCTGCACTCTCCGAAGTACACTATCTCGGACTAACGCTTTCTGCTAATATGAAGAGGAAAGTTTATATGGAATCTATTGCTACATCTGCTGGAAGGAAAGTTAATTCACTGTGTCGGGCTAGACGATTTTTTTCTCGCCTGAATCTATCTTGAACTTCTCTATCATTCCTCCATGCAAAGAATATTGCTGCCAACTCTGGTGTAATGCTTCTGCTATGTAATACAAAGAAGAATCTGCAATGTTATCGGTCCAAGCCTGGCATCTCGGATTCAGTCACTTTTTCAGCTGCCATAACGTAGCTTCCCTTTGCTTTTTCTGTAAATATTTTCATGGTAATTGTTCTTTTCCTCTTTGGTACCTTGGCACGGTTTAGCAGTGGATAGCGGCTCGGATTGAAGAATGGGAGGGCCGAGTTCGAATTCCAGTCGAATCCATTACATTTATTTACATGCTAATACCTTTGGGAAAGGTATGAACCCTCTTCTCCCCCCCCCCTCAGCTATAGGTAAATAGCAGGATAGACCGAGATCTATAGCAACTGGTCTAACGCAAAAAGAAATGGCAACCTATTGCGGGAAAAAATCTACCTCGTCACTCATGTATCGAAAGATACATGATCGCCTATAACTGAGTGACCTAGACTTTATGAATAGCAGCGTAGTAGTAGATTAGCGGAAAGGTCTCGTCATCTTAGTTAAAATGGCGAGATGCAACCTGAAGTTCTATGCCAAATGTGTCTCTCTCTCTCTCTCTCTCTCTCTCTCTCACTCTCTCTGTCTCTCTCTCCCGCGCGCGCGTGTCTGGGTTGTGAAACTCACTACCGGCTTCTTGTTTCCCAGTCAAAAAATCTAATGCAATGACTTCCGTCTTCTTAATTCCGGTTCTTTAATGGTCCGCTCCTTAACCTTTTAAGCCTTGCATTCCCGAACAATTTTAATCCTTCTGCCTGAGCTCCTGAGTCAAAATTCGCAAATAATTGCTATGTAATGTCTCACGGTAGATATAAAAAAAATAGTTAGAAAACTATAAGCATGATACTTAGCAGGGAGAGAGTCGTATTACATGTCTTCACTTTATCGCCAGAATTCTTTCTTTGCGGGCCAGTCTACCCAGAAGGTACTGCCTCTCTTGATGCACAAGAAGCGCTAGCATGTTGCGCAGCAGACTGAAGACTTCACAGCCTTGACAGGATACTCTTTGTAGGCCACAGTTGGGTTTTTCTGCTTGAATTTATTGCATTTATAAGAGCACACATCACAGAGGTTGTTAGTGGAGGCAACTTCGGGTATGTTGCGCAGCAGACTGAAGACTTCACAGCCTTGACAGGATAGTCTTTGTAGGCCACGTTTGGTTTTTTCTGCTTGAATTTATTGTATTTATAAGAGCACATATCACAGAGGTTGTTAGTGGAGGCATGTTCTGGTATATTGCGCAGCGGAGTGAAGACTTCACAACCTTGACAGGATAGTCTTTGTTTGCGACGGTTGGGTTTTTCTGCTTGAATTTACTGTATTTATAAGAGTACGCAGCACAGACGTTGTGGGTGGAGGCATCTTCTAGTATCTCTGGTAGTGGAGGCTGACATTTTGCAGGGGTTCCAGAGCATCAGCATTGATTGACTGCATGTAAACTGCAGCCGACCGGAATGCACCCAACACATCCACACAGATCTAGGAACTTTCTGGAGATGATGGACTTGACTTGATGGGGGAAAGTTGCATGGAACAACACATTACCAAAACACGACGCAAGTGTTTACCAACCGTTCAACCGGTGACTGGGCATTAAGTCATTTTTCTCTACCACCGGTAAAAAGGTGATCAGGGCTTAAAGGTTTAATAATGCTTTCTTTTCCTCGTATTTTCTCACACTCGGTAATTCCTTGCGTCTTAGTAGATTTATTTCCTTATTTGGGGTGAAATGATTGAAAAATAAAATGTATATCTGTAATCTACTACCACATCTGCGAGATCACGGGGTGGTGAACTCGGACAACCCAAAGAAAAGAATAGAGTCAACCAGGAAAATATTTCACGGTCAAAACATGAATATGCACACACAAATCATACTTTGTACCCACAAATTGTCCCAAACAGAAAAACATTAATAGCATATTAAAAAGCAAGCAGCTGTAAAGATGACGAATGAAAACAGGCTTTTGTAATGCCACTAAGATGCCCATTGCGCAAACGGGTGGCGTCTTTTCGGTTCCTCGTAGAGATCTACTTAACAACTGACTACTGTACATAACGGACTGATTTATGATCCTCAATGGCCTCTTGGTACAAAGGGAGATAACTACCTAAAAAAAAAGTTAATGTGGTTTTTCAAAAGAATGCTTGTGGATCCGATGAACTGAATACGTGAATAACGAGGAAATTCTAGAGAAAATGGAAACGAAAAATAACTTATACTACGAATCAGAAAAAGTTGAAATTTCTAGAGCGCATGATGAGGAAAGAGGACTTGGAAAATGTGATTCTCACAGGACATATATAAGGCAAGAGGTACAAAGGAAAGCAACTCGTTACCCCTGCCTAACGAGCTTGCTAGGACAGGGATTAAGAGAGATATAAAAAAAAAAAAGACCAACTTTACTAAGAGATACAAAAAACAGGAAATTGTGGAGAGCCATGATCAACAAAGTCCTGAAAGGGCACAAGCGCGTAGAAGAAGATTTTGCGATGAGTTAACGCGCCTGATACTGGTTAGCAGACAATCTGTCAAACGATCTTTGGCCATCAGATTCGTTTCGATCGCTGATTACTGATAACTCGATG